ACCTTGAGGGTTCGGGACGCGGTGGAAGATTCCACTCGAGCCCGACACTCTCGTTGGCCCGGGAAAGCATAGCCATCATTTCCTGGTCCATATCCGGCACCGCTGGCCGCACAGAGGGCGGCAACGCTGACGGATCTTCATCCCCAGAAAAGTCTGGCTCACCCTCCGATGCTGCACAACTTCGAAATGGTCATACCCCCGCAATGGGAGCATGAATCATCCACGAAAGCCACCTCAGCGTGCTTCATGCCCAGACACGAGAGGCAGCGATCGTGACCATCACCCAGGTAACGACCGCACCCAGAAACACACGGATGGTAAGATATCTTTAAAAAGACGCATCTTTAAAAAGACGTTCCACCTGTGAAGCTCTTTTAGTGGAAATTGCTCTTTTAGTGTGCTGAAGTGCACAGGGGAGATGGCCGTCTGCAACACACACAGGGGGTAGTGCAGCCTGATGTGTGCAACCCACTCGACATGGGAACCCACCGCCGCTGAAGCGCCGTACCACCAGCATGAGAGCCCACGAAGAGCGTGCTTGACTGTAGCTTTCTTTTCTCTTAGCAGAAGGTCAGGAGCAGAATGATAGAACCGCTTGGCTCTGAAGCAAAAAGCTGAATATGCTCTGCATCTGCTGCTTACTTATACTCACGCTGATCACAGCGGCAGCTGGATGCAGTAATCGCATGCCAATGTGCATTGGCTCGTTTAGTTTACACTCGAAGTAGATTGGTCTCTCTAAGCGAGATCCCAATTCGTCTGTCATCCGACGTGACGTCGAGAGTGACCGACTGAAAGGGGACAGCGCATACCACAGGAAAGGTATAACGGAAAATATTAGCGGTTTTGAAACCGTGAAATTTTCAAACCGCGGTATACCTTGAAACCGGTAATCGGCCCATGCCTAATAGGCACTATAGATATTTCCAAAGGTGTTTTTTTAATCCCAGACTAACATGGCAAAGTAATTAAGGGCAATTATGAACCCTGCAAAGGTGCAAGTGTCAAAAATGTTCAGACTGGTTTGACACTAAAGTCTGGTTTGTTTACACCAAAGAACTGCATGACTTCTCATGAAAATGAGGTTGAGGGTTCTTGTCATCTAGGCCAGTGGTTGTGCCCTCAGGAGGTGCGCAGCATGACTCTGAAAAACATTTTTTTTTTATTTTTAATATGCAAAAATAATGAAGACATTTACTTCAAGATGTTGCTTCATTCAAATAGTTATTGTTCTATGTCTCATTTATAAAAGTCTATTTTTAATTTTAAATGTACATTAATGCATCTATAAGACTCCTACATAGCCAGCACTGTTACATAAGTAGTGCAGGATGTGAATAAGTAATGTTCGCTTGTGCTGATATATCCAAGTGTGTATATCACAATTTTACTCTGGGCAAAAACTAAAGCGATTGACAAAATGGCAAGATGATATTCAGTTTGCCCTTAAAGTCTGTGAGTGTGACTTTCTGAAGACGAGCTTAAAGAGTGGGCTGCTTTTGACTCTGGAACACTGAATTCAGCTACAATATTGACAATGAAACCAGACAGCAGTTCATGCGCTTCTAAAAAGAAATGAAAAGCTTTAAAGGAATAGTTCACCCAAAAATGAAAATTTTGTCATTATTTACTCATCCTCATGTTGTTCCAAACCTGTATGAGTTTCTTTATGTTGAACATAAAAGAAGATATTTTGAAGAATGCTGGTAATCAAACAGGTGATGGTGCCCATTGACTTCCATAGTATTTCTACTATGGAAGTCAATGGGGACCAACGACTGTTTGGTTCTTCAAAATTCTTCAAAATATATTCTTTTGGGTTTAGCATATGAAAGAAACTTATACAGGTTTGGAACGACATGAGGGTGAGTAAAGGATGACAAAATTTTCATTTTTGGGTGAACTATTCCTTTAAGACACAGTACAATGCATTTCTCTAAATTCATAAATGTAATTTTTTTCAATATGACTGATTTTAAATGCCCTTAAAATAGATTTGCAAAACCGAAAAGGTGAAGCAAACATTGTTCCCAATTTTTATGAGAATTTAAAAGCTTGTTGCCAC